AGAAAGAAGATAGTTGCTGAGAGAAGAAGAGACTAGGAAAGACGAGAGTATCAGAGACAAGAACAATTGGAAGAAAGAAATGGGAGTGGCAATGATTTCACTTACCATCTGTAACTGCAGATGTTTTCATTGGAATTCCATTACCTAAAGGAAGATAAAACATTGACAAATAGAACTTAGTTTATTTTATGTAAGATTGAAGAATTAATTCTAATATATAATCTTCAATAAAATATTTTTTCTCTATTACTAATAAGTAATATATTAACATGTGAAGATACATAATATCTTCACACTTGAAGAAAACACCATTTGTAAAAATTATATTATAAAATAACTGCTCGAAATCTCGCGTTCTGATTGGTTTGGAGCGCGTGCTTTATGAAAGCACACAGCACGCACGCGCACTTTCAGTTTCGTCATTTATGTAATATGTATTTTATAAAAGGAATAAAAAACTTGCTTGCTGTGCTGTGTGCAGCCATAAAGCACTTGGGGATTTGCAGAGCACTCAAGAAGTGTCGAAAAGCACTCTGCTACGCGTCGTGCTTCTCCTAACACTTCTCTCATGTTCTGCCAACTCCCGCATGCTTTATAACTGCACACAGCATGCGCACGCGTTTTTTATATTTCTTCATTTCATTGGTAATTGCATATTAAATATAATTTATTATCATGCACACGAAAGCCTTAAAGATGCTACTACATGTTGCTTGAAGATACAGATGTTATCTTCTCATTCGCTGCGCTCACTCTTAAGATATCACCTCAACAGGAGAAGATAAAATCTGTATCTCCATGAGACCATGTAAAAGAGACTCTGCCTTCTGTCATGGCTGTCATCATGTGATGGTGCAAAGCTACTATATCTATAGTATAGAATATTTTAGGGATTACTTCATAAGTACTAAAGTGGTGTATATAGTTATTAGTATATATGCATGGACCTCTATTACCAACCCCTTACACTCAGTTCCCAACCAATCCCTATGCAGTCCTTGTAGTCTTACCAGCAGTGGTTGGTTTGCCTGTGGTTTTTGGTACATCTACTTTTGTGGATGGTCTTGTTATTGCAGATGATTTGTTATTGGCAGATGGAAACGATGTTTGCCTGAAAAAAACACACACGAAGCCCCATGAGCTATTGACTCATACACCATTCGGGCTGCACATCTAATGGTTAATTCACCATTTTCCATACATTGGTTCACTGGTCAAACACAAAGAGCTCAAGCAAGGCGCCAAGGTACTTTCAAAGGATTATTCAAATTTGAAGCTTGCAACCTCGACTGAATGCTTTGTGTTTGACCGGTGAACCGATGTATGGAAAATGGTGAATTAGAATCTAGAATTTCCAACAATCAAAATAATTCTATGCAAAAACATAACTTTTAACGAATTAAGGATTTCCAACAATCAAACTAAACTCTATGCAAAATCATAACGTTTGAATCATTTTCTATAAATGATGTGGAAACAATATTTTGCATTATTCTACCTTTGTCTTGTAGTCGGTCTAGATGTTCTGAGAGTGGTTTTCAAGGTTGATTTGGGAGCATTTGTTGGAAGGACAAACGGCACAGTAGAAGGCCTTTTTGACTTTGGGGAATAAGGTTTCTGCGTCGTAAAAACATCTGATGGTAAAGTGATAGGTTTCTCGGAATGGACTGGTTTTGCTGTAGGTGGCCCATTAATGAAATTACTGGCCACTTCAACGATGTCGTCGCATATTTTACAATCATAGTTATCTCCACTCATGTTGTACTTCAGGTCAAGAAGCTGCTGAAGATTCGAGCCTTCTTTGAAGAAAGATGGTGGCTTGTCGGAAGGGGTGATTTTTGTGTCAAGAAAGACAGAACCTGCAAGAACGATAATGTATAATAACAAAAGGCCAAATCTAAATAGATGGACAGGCTTGGCATAGGAGAAAAGACATAGCTGAAGGCTTGTTCCACACAGCCAAGACTGCTCAGAAGTGTCTTCAGTGTTCTCTTGAGGTTGATGAGTGTTTTCATCACCAAGCAATGGGGCGGAGTCGGAGTCTTGGGCATCGTCTGATAGGCACAGTAAATCAGAGTCATCACTGTTTGGGCCACCAATATCAGCAAGTGAGTCGTCAAGTGATAAGCTGTTGTTATTGAGGGGTAGGTTAGAGACATCGTCAGTTAATTCAATGGGAGGGACATCGTCTGTAACAGGTGGGGGATGACTGACTCTTGCAGAAGGCTCATTCCCAGATAGAAACCTTTGAATGTCACCTAAAAAAATAATGAACAGAACATCAATACATTAAATAATTACAGGATAAAGAAATGGAGACCCTTGCCACCACTTAGCTATTGCATTTTCCATGTCCTCTTGAGAAGTATAGATATTTTTTTTGGAACTACACGATATACCCTCCTCAGACCCTCCCCACCCCTTAGAAATTTCTTTCTTCCTCCATGAAACCCTTTTTCTGGTACTCAATATACCTGAGGTTCCCATACCTTCCCCGADCTACCMCTTAGAAATTCCAACCMCCCTTTCAAGRGGGGGGGGGGGGGTGGTATGGATTACTTTTAATATATAGAATTTGGATTTCTTTTTATATATAAAAATGAGGAATTCTCTTCCTCCAAGTATAAGAGCTTGCACTTCTATCTTAGTTTTTAAAAGAGAAGTGAAAACCTGGCTTTTTAAACAAGCTTTTCTTAATTAATTCAAATCCAATTATTTTAATAAAGTTTATATCAACTTATACCAGTTTACGTTTGCAATTTGAATGTTTATGTTATGAAATGTTGTGCAATGTTTAATATCATAGTTGAGTATGTTTATATCAGTGTTTCAAATAAATAAATAAAACGTTCCAATGCTTTAATAATGTTTTTTCAGAATATTTATGTATTTTTCATAGTTTGTAATATTAAGATAGCGTCAAATTTTATAATATTTTTGAGCCTTCAATGATATGTAAAGCACTGTTGGACTATAGGAATTAGTGCTATATACAGAGGATATTACATGGGCGCGCAGAGATACGAATTTTATCTTCAAGTGTTCAATTGATATATCTAAGAGATATCTAAATTGAACACGAGAAGATAAAATTCGTATCTCCAAGCGGCCATGTAATGAACATTCTGTTTATTATGTAGATATCGATGAAACTTAAATAAAACAAAAGCTCAAAAATTCTTTATCAAAATACGTTACTATGTCAACAGCGATATCTTCACGTGTGAAAGATATGATATCTTCTACTGGTGAAAGATATCAAGTTTTCGACACTAGAGAAAACCTGGTATTTCATCGATATCTATATAATAAAAAATAATAATTTTATTTATTATTATCATACCACTTGCATATACACGTATATAAATTCAAATCCTTAACTAAGATGGAGGAAAGTGGAAAGAAGATGGATAGCAATGTTATTGAAACCTTTACCTGGGAGTTCACTTTGAGTTTTACAACAGTTCAAAGGAATCCAACCAAACAGAAACCTAAACAGACGCTTTTCCAGTTTATGGATGTATTGGTACCATAAGAAGAGAGTCGGGGGGATAATTAAGATTACTGTCAGCCAACAGCTGATGACAATCAGCATCATAAAGAGTCCAAAATCATGGATGGCTGGCATCTGTAAATAAAAATTTAAAAAATGAATAAATAAAAATTAAAAAAGGCCAGTACAAAGCCATTAGAGTGCAAAGCCGTTTCGCAGTAATGTTGCATCTGTCAACATGGCTCACTTCTCTGTGACTTGGTTTGTTTGATTGACAGGAAAAACAACCAAAGCACGAAAAGAAAATGGAAAAAATAATTCAATGATAAAACAATTATTGAACTCTGTTATCACAAAATACCCTGATTTGTTTACATCTCACCACTAACAAATCAGAATATTTAGCTCAACCTCATCCAACAATAGTCCACTTCTGAGATATGCTTTGCTTGTCATGCACAAAGGTTTCAGTACGAGGTTATGTGCTAAATTAAATCAATTCTTTTCTTCTGTCATGAGTCACTGAGCATTATGCACGAAGCCTCACAATGAAACCTTTGTGCGTGACAAGTAAAGCATATCTTGAAAGTGGGCTCTTGCTTAATATTCAAAGCATAGTACCTTAGACAGACAATTTGCTCCGAAAGCAGCAGCAGTAGTAAAAGAGGTGAAGAAGGTAGAACCTCCTGCAGTACTAATGGTATGCATCAGTCTAGACTTGATATCCTGTGACTTCTTTGCATGGACAAATGTATTAATAAAGACAAAGACATCATCGACTCCAATACCAATAATTATAAACAACGATGCACCACTGAGAATCGTAACATTTGGAATCGCAAATATCACTCGGAATACGAAATAGGCACATGGCAGGGATAGAAGTATGCTGAGCATACCGAAAAAGGTTAGGAAGAGGGAGAAAGAGGTTAGAATGAAGACAAAAATGATGATGATGATGAGGGTGTATTTTGCCTTGTTTACATCGCTCCACATGGTCTTGGAGACCAGGTAATCGAACACCTCAGGACCTCCATAGAGTACTTTGACTTTACTGTTGGAAAAAAGGAAGAAAAATTGTCAATAAAACGTAGATAAAAACTGAGGTTATCTCTTTCTATTCACCACCGTAAGTACAGCAGTGGTACAGCTCAATGGGGTCGAACTGAAAGCATGTGAAGATGCCTCTCCAGCTGCTATACAGTCCATCTACAGGGCTTAAAATAACAGCCAGTAAGTCACTTGTCATGATGACCGGCCAAATTAGTTTTAGCTCCGTCATACCTGGCTCCACATTACTGGTCTAAATGACCGGCAAGGCAAGTTCTAATTTTGGGCAGACATTGTCCGATGTCCACACATTATTTTAAACCCTGCTATGATCCTGAAACACAGCTCTTAAAGTACAGTGTAGTTTGGATTAGTAAGTAGGGTTGATTTAAGAGGAGAGAGGTAAAACTGAAAGCTGAAAGAACCCTGGGAGTTCGAAAGAAAACCAGCCAACTCAAATCATATGTGGTGAAGTGAATCATACTTTCGTCCTGAATATCAAGAAAACACTTCATACAGTGATTATTGGACCTTTAAAGAGTATTCTTAGGAAGTTTCAGCTGAATCCAAGTTTGAGCGATTTTCATCAGATTAGCACTTTAAATAAGGCGAATTCTATTGAAAACTTGTGATTCAGCTGATGAACATTCTGCACAGAAAACAATTAATGAAATGAAGTCTAGCAAAATCAAGCAATTATTTTACTTATTCAAAAGTTTCTGCTTCGAGAGATGGTGGTAATTGGGCCCACAAAAATAACTACAAATGTTAAAAAGTTTGGTAAAGATGATGCTATCTGGAATAATGAGAAGAAAAATTAGGTCAAGATTTTATTGAAAACAAATTAAACAAAAAATAAATTAGTATTCAAAGCTTGTGGTTGAGTAAACACAAAGAGGTTGCTATATATTTCAGCTGACCATCTGTGAGGTAGCTTTTCTAATTAAATGCTAAATTACTTTTTTTTTCATCCAATTTTCCTTTTCGTTTTATTCTTTTCCTTTCTTACTTTCTCTTTTTCTTTCTTCCCCTTTACCCTGTTCCTTTATCATTCATTCATTTTTTCCCCTTTCCTCTTTCTTTTAGTCATTTATTTAATCTAACAAGCCCAATTCCAATTTAATCTCTGAGTTAGCCTTACTCTGACTTTAATAAGCTTCAAGAAGTTTTATTGTTTTATGAAAGAAATTCAACAATTTGAAATTTTATTCGCTTTTCATCTCTCTCAAATAACAAATTTCTGTCTCCTTTATCTCAATTCTTTCTAGCCTTCCTAAAAAAATCTATAATTGTATTCATTTATTTCCATGCAACTCCTTTAAATGCTCACGATACATAAGTTCAAAAAAAGTCTATTGTTAACTCATCTACAGAGCACACAGTGTATACAAAGACCTTCTTATAAAAAATACCCTTCAAAAGCACCACTTAACACTTCAGCAATAATATAAAAGAAGTTATCATCATTTTCAAGCTCACAATTCAAGAATGACAATTTTTTTGCGAATAAAAAAATTATCTTATTCAAATGAATTCAGTATATTTTTTAAAGCAGGATACTCTCTTGACAAAATACGCAGCTGTGTTAAGTAGTTTTCGTTTTTAATCACATATTGAATCTGCTAATCGTAAAATAGCTAGTAGTCTTTATTTCTTTCCTTCATTCATTTATCCATTTTTTCTTTTTTTAATTTCTTTTCAACTCATCTTTTGAAATTTTTTCACCTTTAATATTTTTGTTTGTTTGTTTCTTCCTTTCTTTTTAATGCATTTGGTTTTTCCCTTCCTCTCCGTCCCACTTTACTCCTTCCTTGCTTTCTTTCTTGCTAGCAAGCAGATGTGTTCTACACGTATACCAAATTATTTGCGTCCAAAAATTCATTAAATGCTCCTCATGATATGTTAACATGTAAGTTCAAAATCTATTGTTTACAAGTCATTTCGCTTAATGAATATAACAGAGCCTCTACTGACATTTGAAATGGATTTCCAAAGAACAACACTAAATACATCAGTCATGCGCAGGATTGTTATCACTTAAAGTCAATGAACAAAAAGAAATATTGCACTCTGAAATTTTTTTCAATAACGAGCAATAATGGCAAAAAGTGCCAAAAACTAGACTTTAGTATGAATTTTGATCCCAATTTTCGTTTGGGGTTAACATTCAAAACCTTTTTTATGCAGTTAGAAACTGATGTACTATGATAAATGCCTGTTTGAAGTGGTATTTTCAATTGTACAAAGATGTTTTGTTGCATTTGTTTTTAAAAATGTTSCTTTGTCAGGCTTTTTTATAGAAAATATATGGGAAATAAGGAAATGAAGGCCTAAACCTCATTTTCGAATAATTTTATTTGCTTTGGGTTAACACTTTGATTCCACTTTTTGGTCATCTCCACTTCCAAACAAGTTAAACTTTCTGAATAACAAGATTTTAGCCTTGTACAACAGCCTTTCTTCAAGAAAATAGTTTTTTGGTGCTCACTGCTTGAATACGAAAAGAATTCTTTCTTAAATATTTTTGGAGTTTTAACAGGATTCTATAGTAACCATTCATTATTAGTTTTCTGCTACAAATAAGTTGTATTCATGATATGAGACCACTCAACTGTCGTAAAGCAACCAATACTCTTCTCCTAATTTATAATAATAATGAAAAATTTTTATGAAGCAAGCCAGTGGAATTAATTGAAACGTTGATGTATTTTTCTTAGTTAAAGGCACAGATATATACATCTAAAAATATATTTCTATAGATTACCATATATATCTACAGTGTAAACAACATTGCTGAAACAATATTTCTTGCCATAGGGTAGAATGGAGCAATTTCATTGTGCGAAGAAACATATTTCAGGATTTGAATAACTTTCCACTGACCACAAACAAGTATTCTACCTGTCAATCAAGCTTGCCAAAGTGGTCATGCAATTACTAAAACATATTCTTGGTTTTCACCTACGTCATCATGAATTTCAAAAGTGTAAATTCGCGTTATAATGAAATAAAAGTTTCATAATCTTGTAAAGCGGTCAAAACTACATATTCTGGCCAAATTTCGAGGCTGTAAAGCATTTCGTTGCGGAACTAGAGGCGAGTAAACATGACGCAATTTTTGGTTAAAATGTATGGAGCGGCCATCTTGGTGTTCCAAGTTGGTACACCATCATGGCGGACRAAATTTCAAAGGCTTAAGATGATGGAATTTTTAATATTTTTGACTATGTTTCACTTAAATATACCTTAAATAGATCTTTAAAACACGTCTAAGGGAAAATCTTTTAACTAGATTAAATTATTTTACTATTTTGATCGCTATTTAGATAGACGTGACGGCATTGCGTGACACAAACTCAACCTTCATAACTCGGGAACCAAACATCGAAATGACTCGAGATTTTTTCTTGTGACTTATAACACTGAGTTCTGAAACATATTTGAGAAATGTCTTTATACGATCTATAGTTTAGATTTTGATGTTTTCATGACGTCATGTGAAAACCGGCAATAGCTTATAATCAGTAATGATAAAAGAGTAAATTATACACCGTGAAAAGATGAAAAAACTGACGTTTCGGATGCTATATAATCATGTGATCGTCAAAACTGAGAGCGAGCAAAATAACCAAAAAATCTACACACCTAGATTGAAAATAAATACCCTTACATAATTAGTAAATAGGTAAAAATTGTAATGGGTACAAATACTATATTTCGAGTTACATAAGTTTAACTTATGTTAATTAATGCAAATGAACCCATACGTAAACAAAGACCTATCTATTGTCCATGCGTCAGAGGCAAAAGCTTTTCTTTAAATTCAACAAAATATCTATATAAATCATTTTCCTTTTGAATAACTTTGTAAAATTCTGAATAAAAGTATTATGAAGTCATATCCTGTAATGAAAACTTATCAGCCATACTTTAATCAGAAAATGAATAATTCAAGAGTGCACTTAAAATATCTCGAGCTTAAACAAAATAAAAATAAATACTAAAAACAATAAATAAAAACATACTAGAGTTCATAAATACATTATTTGATAAAGATCTTGACATCGTATCTTTTTAAATATTTTAAGTAGATTAAATGGTATCTTTGATATTTATGTTTACTTACTCTGTCGAAGTTGTCTTGAGAAACTCAATAAACTTGACCATAAAGTTGGTATACAATGTGTCTTGTTCTTCGGCTTTTTTCCCTTTATAATCGTGCAGATTATAGCCCTTTAAAGGGAAGCCAAACTTAATCTGTGCTCGAAGAAGAGAACTTCTACGATTTTCGGACGAAAAATTTCCATCAACGAACCAATATGTGAATTTTTTCGTAAGCAAAAATTTCAGAGTTTTATGCATTGAAGAAGTTGTCAGCGTCTCTCCTTGCCCATCATAAAAGGACATCCTCCCAAATCGTGATGGGAAAAAGAAGTCTACTAGAGAAACGGGAGGTGTACAGGCATTATATCTGGTGGAAAGGACAGGATCAAGCTTGGCTATGTTCCATTTCCAACAAAAATCCTGAAAGCCTTTAAACTTCATGATTTGTTGTTCGATTTTCTGAGCTGTTTTGAGTCTCTCGGTTGTAAACATATTTTTATCTTCTCCTTGCGCGATGTATATTAAATCGATATTCCATCGGCTCTTTGATTGAGTGTATTTATATCCTGAAGAAGAAGAAGTAGGTGAGTCTGTAGGAGGGATAGGCCATGGTTCAGCAGAACGTCGAACACGAAGTTTATAGTCGTGCGACCTTTGTTTTGCTACTGTGAAGGCATCTTGGTGTTCAGAAGCAGCTTGACTTGGTATTTGGAACGACTGCAACGATATATCTACCACTGTTGGGTACTTAAATATAGTCACTAAACCAAGAAATACTGGGATTAATAAGGATAAAGACAGCACAATAATGGATAGGATTGTGAGGTTGACTGGAATACGTCGAGTTAGTTTTTGTACCCTTCCTTCGAGGACTGTCTTTGCTCTTCGAAGATTAGCAAGACAGCTGAGTTTAGGCTGCCGAAAACTCAATGAAGGACTGTCAGAAAAGCTCCCAGAGTGAACCCCATCTAGCTCTATATCAGGGCCTTCTAAAAGCTTAAAGTCGTCGCTCTTTTGCCTTGAATGACGAGCTCTTTGAGGCATGATTTCGAGTTGTTCTTCACTCCCTTGTGTGTATTATGTAAGCTTTCTTCAGTAAACTTCACTAAACTCGAACCTTGCTCACTAGAACTCCAACTAGATACCTTAGTTTCTGAAGCCCGTGAGATAATAATTTAAAAATGACTGAATGAAAGATCGAATTTGATGTTTGAAGGCCGCTTTGGCCAAGATGTTTTGGCCAACATGACTCTGACAAGATGGCCGACGTACAGTATAGCCACTAGTTTGTGTGGATAACTCACGTGACCATAATATACTCATCGCATATGACGTGCTCATCCGAATAGGACAAAAAACCAACTCCAAAAAACCGCTTTACAAAAAATAACAAAAAAAAGCTTAACTATAGGTCTCTATCTAGGGTTTCGTTCTCTTAGTACACGTACTTATTTTCTGGTATCATATCGTGTATTTGGGAATGAAGGTGAGTTATAATTGAGGGGGAGGGGGGAGGAATTGACTTCTCTTTGTTCTCAGTGATATGTATCTCTCAAACTTTGGACACTCAGAGCGCCAAATATAGACTTAATAATTTTCGTTTTTTAATTCGAGTGAATATTTCCCCCCCATTGTCAGCTTAAGCTTCTTCCTTCGGTCTGTAATCTGAAAGGTGACGAGCGGAAATGCTAAGAGCTTTGAAAATTCTGATAATATAGTGTCAGCGATTCTTTTCTGACAGAATAGAACAAAACACACTTATATTCCTTTCCTCTCTCTCTCTCTTCTTTTCTTTTCTTTTTTGAACTGCACTCCACATTTAGCTTATCTGATTTATGTAAAACGGTTTTATTTAAGAGAAGGATGTACATTGGTTAATTGCCTTAGGCTCTAGCATGTAGGGCGGGGAAGACGGTAAAGGCATTTATTTGAATTTCCATTGTAAAGATACGTATACTGTCAAACGGGGACCTACCCAACTACCCAACCAAGAACACCTTTTACCACGAAAGAAAACAACCGGGAAAAGGAAGAATGTGCACGTACGTGGACCATCCCTATACTAGTGATAGAGCTGAATTAGTCTAACCTGCTGAGCCTGATACTCAGGTTAGGATTATTCCTGCGGCAAGCAGATGGCCACTGATATTGGAACAAGTTCAAATAGTCAGTCTCAGTTGTGTGCATTTAGCTTTTCAATTAATAATGGAAAAATTCTTAAATTTTCGATTCTTACGAAAAAGTGTTCTCATTCAATTTTTTGGAGCCACAGATCGTCTGAAGGTTAATTAAGGTTTAGTTATCATACATGTATTAATGCGGCCATGAAACATTGGTAAACAATGGCGTTAATTAGACTGGCTAAACAGGAAGTCAAACTTAACCGGTGGTGGAATCGAGACAAAACACAGGAAGACCAACCAAGTGTAGTTCCTCGATGTAAAGAGATGGATGGATAGATGAGTGGATGGATGAAAAGGGATGATATATATAGAATATTTTTTATCCGATGGATAGACTAAATGTTTCCAATGATGCTATTAAACGAGTCAAAATGTAAAACCAAGGACGGCCCCTAAAGAACAATTAATTTCAATAATCTTTCCTAGTGCATCAAAAGTCAAAAATATTTTTCTTAAATTTTACTCTTTAAATTCATACTCTCTGATTATAAATTTATACTCTTAATTAAGATATCTGTAGGTCTGGAGAACCAATACCTGAGCAATGCGTCATTAGAGGTTCGGCTAATGTGAATTTCGACTTTTGACGGTCATATTTATTGGCTATAGAGGCTTTGCACCATCACGTGATTGCAGCCATGACAGGAGGCAGGAACAATTGAATCTAGTCTTATCTGATTTAAATGAGAAAGAATTCAGTTTCCCAGGGGAGAACGACTCTATTTCGTGCCCCCTGTCATGGCTGCCATCACGTGATGGTGCAAAGCGACTCTATTGAAGGAATGGTTTTTTAGGAGGATTTAGGGGGGAGGGGGTAGACATCGTTTGTAGACAACTAGATGGAGCACTCAGCTACACATTGACTGATATTAATGGAGGGTCACTCACAAGCAATCACTAGTAAAGGGGAGATTTCTTGGGGATCATGCAGTTAATATTAATCAGTCGCAGTATTAACAGTATTCGCTTATTTCCTCGAAGCTGCAGCCTTCGTAGCAACATTCTTCAACGATGTTGTAGCTGCGTTTCCTTCTCGATTTTAAAAACGCATTTCCTTTGTTCTTGCTTTCCAGTAATGGTTGTTTTTCTCTYGTGTCTGTTGGTATTAAGGATAAAAAGTAATTAAAGGCAACTGTTTTTGTCAATCAAAAGGAGCATTGAGAAAAACGAGAAGAGTTTATACTTGGGGGGGGGGGGGGTGTTAGAGTTTAGAGGGGTAAAGTGCAAAGGGTAAAGTGCATAGGTGATGTCCTTTTCTTCTTTCCAGATCCAAAAGCTACGTTCAAGCCGAAAAAAGTAGGGGGCTTTCATTTAATGACACATCCTGCAATAGTTCTCAACCCTTCTCAATATGTGATAACCCTTCCTAACCACTCCGCCAACATGCAAACTGAACATTCCTCTTCCGCGCACAAATTATCTCAAAAGCACATTTACCTACATTGGTGCGTAATCATGGAATAGCCTGCCAAATAACTTAAGGCAGGCAGAGTCTCTCAAAGAATTTCATAGACTATTGGAAACCTATTATGTAAAGTAAAGCACGGCATTCAAGGAAAGCAGGTTTTTTATTTCATTTTATTTTATTAGATTAAACTTAGTATAGATTAGTTGATTATTTTAAACATTTTGTAAATTCTGATGATTATACCGTGGTAAAATAAAGTTTTATCTATCTATCATCTATCTTTCTCAAAATAACGTTAAGCCCCTTACAATTTTCCCCCCCCCCCCCGATGTGCAAATAAATGGAAGCCCCCTTAGATTTACTGTCTTCGCGTGGATTGAAATAAGAAAACCATACGCCCCAGGCAAAGAGGTCTGCTACTTTACTATCTATTCAAACACTCACCTCTTTTTCGTCTCTTTTTGAAGTATCCGCAAACATACCCATAAGCCATGTAGATCTGATCACCACAGAAGTGACCGTCAATGACGATATCTGAGTATTCACTTGTTTTCACGCAGTAGTGACCATGGCAATGATCAGCAAGTAGCTCATTGGTTAATATCAGGAGTAGCAATGATATACGCAGGAGGGAGGTGACAGTCATATTTGGTTGGCTGATGTATTTCTGAAACTGTATAAGAAATTAAAAATCGTGACAAAATTGGATTGTGGACGAGTGAACCACTTATCACACTACAGGTAGCCCAGGACCTCTTTTTATGGTTCTTCGTAAATTCTGGTTCTTAACCTTTTGTATGCTGTTCAATTGAACACAAATTATAATCATTTATCGACACTCATTCTAGATCTTCCCTTGGATCAAAAATCAAGGTTTAAGAATGTTTTCGCTATCTCAACACTTGTATACAATTAGTTAATCTGCCGTCCACGCAATCCAATATTTTACGCATTTCTATTCAGCAGGACACACGTCCTGTGCTGAGATGACTCACCTTACGTTTTTGATGCGTATGATACCTAGATCTCTATGGGGGTTCTAGCTTTATTACAAAAGGTTTCATAAAATCAACAAAAATAGAATAGGGATACTACTACCTGTGACAAAGACTGAGTCAATAAGCTACAGCTGAAGACAACAGCTGTTCTACAAGCGCCTTTACCGGCTTCTTTTATGAAGACGAAAAAGAAATCAAACATAAAGCAATAGGCACTTTCTGTCATTGTCGGTATAGGTTGAAAACTAAGCTTAGGGGAACGCAAAATTACAGTACCATTTTAAGCGAAAGATTTTGACACTTATATCATATATATATGCGTATGCAGGGGCGGATACAGGATTTTAAAGGGGTGGGGGGGGGGGCTATTTTTTAAAAAGTTAATTTATTTCTCCTCTCCTCTCCTCTCGACTTTTCTTTTTATTATTTTTTTCTTTATCTTAAGCGTTAAAGTGGCTATTTCATATTTACTATCTTCGGCAAACGTAACCCATAAGCAAACAAACCATATAAATCGAAGGAAAGACAGGTTGCCCCGCTACTACATGAAATGAAAAACATTACGCACTCCTGGTAAGCCTCGGTTTATAAATAAAAACGCACGAAAAACCATAATGTTTTGTTGAGAGAGTTTTTAACAAAGCAGTGAAGTCCAACAGCGAGAGTCTCAATGTACGAGTTGAGGGTGCGCGCGCGCGCGTTTTGGAGCAAAAGTTCCCGCCAAAACCACAGTACTCGAAGCTAAGTGAACTCCATTGATAAAAGTCGCAAATAGATTTCGTAGAAATGACAGGGATAAGTTTGAAAGAATCCTACAAATGGAATCCACGCAAAATAGGAGAATTATGATGGACAAATCAGCCCTTAGGCTACTGCTGCAGCAAGTGCTGCAGACAGAAGCTCCCCAAGGATGCTAGTACTTCGAAAAGGGGAAAAATGATGATGATGATGAGCCACTTTACCCAGTTCTAATACCTTAACTGCACTGGTTTGTGATTGTAGAAGTTATACTTCTGCTCGGACCAAATTAAGGTAAGTCCATGTATGTTATTCGCAGATTTATTCGAGATTCTTTCAATAACACACCGATTAACGCAGTCCAAAGCTAACATTGGTCATCACTATAAATACTTCATGCTTTCGAAAGCGTTGGACGTTTTATGGACCAACTAAAAGTAAAAAAGTACGTTTAATTTGTGTTCATCATTCTGTATAAAACACTGCACGCCGTATTAAAGTTTAGTATTATTCAATCATAGGTTGAAATTGTTCTAGCAAAAGCTATAGGATTCTACGGTAGAAAGAAATGATAATTCGTTCGTTACCTTCGTATCTCTGTTCTCCAATAATTCTTTATTCACTCGCCTGCGCTTGAATCGTGGCTGTAGTAAGTCGAAGGATATCAAAAAAGTGTGGGCAAATTTTCTTAGGTACCGAATGAATTAGCATAGGTTGGTGTCCCTAGTGACGACATTGTGGTACGTTTTTATTGTGGCTTGATTGTAAGGTGTAATGTTAGTCTATAAACTGGTATGGATTGCGCTTATATTTAACCTTCCATCACAACTTGAGATCTTATTTAAAAGAAAGGAAGGTCTCGAAGTATTTGAATACCAGTGTGGAAATTGCATTTTATAAACATTTTAAACCCGAGAAAATTAGCTGCAAGACATTCTTCAAACAGATGTGACTTTTTCTTCAATCCTTTATTGTTTTCCACGCCGTTTCGGGATATTCTCACCAAATTGTCACCTTTGACAAGAACGCTACCGTTTTGCTTTATTTCGGAAAACTATAGTTATTACTAATAATATGGGAAAATTCTTCCGTCCGACAAATTATTTGTTTTAACAATGAGATTTATAATCTTAGAAAATTAAGATAAGGATGTTACTTTTTTTTTATATCGAGTCTCCTAGTAATTTTCTGTCATTGAGTTTCAAACGATTGATAAAAAAGACGTGATGAAAGAAACAAATTAAGACGTTCATCAACAAGTGTTGAGATTGAAGAGAAGAAATGAAATAATAAGGGTGTTACTAATAAAATAAAAAGGAAGAAAACAATTAATTTATGAAAGAAATTGAAATAAGAAATGAAAAGAAGTGCTGGAAATAGAAAATATTCTGAAGTAAAGAATAAAATAATAGATAGAGTGATCACAGTAAATCCGTGAAACACTAATTACTAAATAGTACAAAATAGTGCTAGTTAAACAATAGAAAACAATGGAATTTGCATGAAATTGTGCTATTTAGTATTACTAAAGTTCAATTCCACGGATTTACTGTGGTCACTCTATTATAATAATAATAAAAGATAAGGAAAATAAGAATATATATTTAATAGTAAAATTAAATTAGGAAAGAAGGCTACGACAAAAAAAAAACAAAAAAACAAAAAAACAAAAAAACAAAAAAACAAAAAAACAAAAACAAAAACAAAAACAAAAACAAAAAACTATAAAAACTCAGAAATAAAAAGGCTATAAACTAGAAGTGATGTTATTAAACGACATCACATTTGTACGATGTTAAAATTCACGAAACATTATTTTTTTAGATATAATATATATTTTTTATTTAAATCTAACCTGAAAGTCTTTATCTAAGAAAATAGCAGAGGAAAAATATATGAGTTTCTGATTCGGAAACTGAAAGATTTATATACAAAGAGAATATATATTTTAAATTACACAGTCTTAATGTTTCGTCGTCATTTTTTTGAATTCTGGTGAATCAATCCCATATTCAACATTTATATGAGTTTTCGTAGGCGTTCAATAGATAGAACGGTTGGGATTCCTGTGTCTTGAAGCTTATTGCGCTGGGAACCCAGTGGTCTAACTTTTACTAGAAGTGCCTTTTTTTGGAGGCAATTCATAACATGACGTAGCAGTATTCGTGGACCTCTTCCACTCGGCAGCCTTCGTTGCAGCATTCTTCCACAATGTCGTAGGTACGTCGTTTTGTTCTCGATAAAAATTTCGAGCTTTCCCTTCGGTCAACTAGGATGTTGACTGCAGTCTTGACTTCTGTTGAGAAAAAAAAATTGATTGAAGCTGAAAAAAGTTGCCAAAAAATGAAAAACATTTCTATAGAAGAAGGAATATTTGTAAATAGGAAGATTGTAATCATTTGTAAGAGAATACAGTTACACTACTGAGAGACACGCTGCAACGTTTTATGATATAGGAAAAAAACATGGCCGCCTTGTGGGTGATATAAGAAAAGACATGGCCGCCATGTTGGATGATATAACAAAAGACGTAGCCACCATGTTGGATGATATAACAAAAGACATGACCACCATGTTGGATGATATAACAAAAGACATGACCACCATGTTGGATGATATAACAAAAGAC